TCTACGCAATGGTCGCTTGAGTATTGTCGAAGACGGAATCTTGGACTGCTATGCCCGAGATTGGTTTATGAGGTGGACGAACTTTTAAAGTAGAATGTACGGGGTACATAGTGTAGGGAGTGATATGTTTCTGTTAGGAGGGCGCAGACAGCCATAATCTTGGAATTTAGGATTTCGAATTCCCTTGCGTAGACACTAATAGCCCTGACCTGCAACTAAACTCCCTCCCGCAGGCCATACAAGTAAGAGACAGGCTAGGTTGATTTTCTTTTTTTACTTCATTAAAAAAGATAGGAATTGCCGTGGGCCCGAGACACCCAAAACGGTACAAGACTTCCGAACTCGAGTTGTAAATATACCAAAATCACACTTGGATGTGTTACAAAGGCAAGCAACAGTAGTATGGGGAATAATTGATAATCTCAGTTCACCCTATCGGCAGCGCAAAGCCGGGCTGACCCTTAATCGGAGGGCTGGTTCAGCTATACAGTGGAGTTGAGAATTGCAGTAAGCACGCGCTCACCTTTTCAGTTGGGAAATAAACTTAAGGATCTCCACAATAACGCTGTTTATCTGGAAATGAATATCTTATTAGTTCCTCCATTATCGTTTAAGGGTGAGCAACAATGTTCATCTAGCAAAAAGGAACTGGTGTGTCGACTTGAATGACCAATTGCTGTATTGAACGAGATCGATGCGTTTAGTCCGTGGTAACCCGGTAGGCATTTTTGAGAGTGTGACCTTCCGGTTAATTTCCCACTTTCTGCCACAAATCTTTTGAAATTTTGTTTATTAACCACGCAAGTAAAGAGAAGTTGTAAATCATTGGTCAAAGGCTACAGAGACTGAGGACATTTGACCGACCAGCATTATAACCACAGTGTTAGGACAGACCCCTGAGGGCGTCCTGGTACGATATAGATACGAGTGAAGAATGTGAGATGTGCTTGATATGGATATGATGATATTCAGACTAATCGCTGGTCCTCCTAAGAGGATTCGGCCCCTCCTTTTCTAGGGGATCCCTCTGTGCGTATGCAAGCAGGTAAGCGAGGTGATGTATCAACATGCGGTTCCAATAGTGCGTAAGCACCTCCCCCGCATTCCCTATCCCTCATTGTATAATTGGCGTAACACACAGTTTCCCGTCGGCGGTAGAATTAAACAGAAGAGCAATATGGTTTCTACCGAAATTAACAGAGAATGCTGAGGCAAGCCCGGCGCAACCGGTGTGGTATACATATATCTTTTAGCCTTTAAAATCTTTGACTTTTTGATAGGAATTTTGTGGCTTTGCATTCTTTTTGATCGCCTGTTTTGCAAGGGCTAGGTCTTGGATGGCCTGCTTGCCGCCCTGAATCGCACGTTTTATATGCTTTTGAACCTTCGGAAGGTCTGGTTCATCGTTTTCGAATATCGTTTGAAGCTTATTCTCAATTTTTGAGAACCTTTGATCTGAATTAGGCGGTGAATTGGTGATTGAACTAGGAATTTCTACCTCCGGCGAAGGTGTATGACCATAGATCTCAATCACTGGTTCATCTTCCCAGCCAGGATCAATTTGATCACAGACAATATGTGGATTCCAAGGCCAAATGCCAGTATCATAGAATGATGATTTAATAGTTCGTGATTTAAATGTGTCCTTACGAACTGTTTTGATCATCTGAAGAAAGTGCCGTTTATCGTCAACATCTCCACCCCATCGTACAATCTCATTGTTCTTCTTTCGGAATTTCTGTTTAAGAACTGAGAATGGCTTGCCATCGAGAGGCTGGCATCGATGTGTCAATTTCGGTATAAACCACCAAGGTATGATATTAAAGCTTTGGCAAATGTGTTCGAATTCCGGGGTTCCATGAGAACCATGGTTATCCATAACCAATACCCTAGGTCTGCCTCTGGCAACTCGCTTTTTAGTGGCATAATGGAAATCCAATAGCCATTGAATCGCGGTTTTATCGTCCGTCCAGCCTTTTGTAGTTGGTTTAATAACCTGGTAATTGGAAGGGTCATTATCGCCGTCGTACCAATCTTCCATTTGTTCAGAACCACGCATTAAAAACCATGGATGCATAACCCAGCCATCGGCCGAAATGCATTCAATGCCAGTGATATTCTGGCCTATTCCACCGGTCGCGATAGTCTCGATTTCACGGGTAGAAGCAACGTTTTCCTTAGTTCCAATGCCTAGCTGAAAGCCAGTTTCATCCCAGTTATATAGTTCGTGGGCCTGAATTTTATTCTTTTTAAGGAATTGGCCGAAGACCTCATACCAATGAACTAATTCACCGTGTAATTCAGCCTCGATTCTCGCTTTTCCATAGGCTTTTGCGTACGGAGAGTGATATGCGGTGGTAGGCGTGCAATAAATTGGTAGCCGTACATTTTGCTGACCTGCCGGTCGGAACCGCAGTGCTGTAAAATGCGATTTGCAACACCCTCAATATCTAAAGCAGTCGGTGGTGTATACACCGAATTAAGTAGCTCGATCCACCGAATCAGGGATCTCTCTTGCGACTGATTTAGTGCTTTATTGGTGGCTGTACGGCCTTTTCCATTTGACCTGCCCTGCTGCCGGCTCCGGAGCTTCCACTTTGACACGCCAAAATGAGAGGCTGCGGCCTGAATACTGTTGAATTGGCCTGATTTATAGGCTTCGAGGGCATTTGAGAGAAGGATCTCTTCTTGTTCGGAGGAAATCGGCATTGTTTTGGTGGTAAAAAGTAAGGTTGAAAATTGAAGGTTGAATTTTTTGTGAATAGGCATTGGTTTGTGAATAGGCATTGGCTCACCTACACACGGGTACGGGTGTAGGTGAATGCTTAGTCACGGTTATACGCAGACCACGCATTTGGATTTGTAGAAGACGCAGTGTCATACTGCGCCATGGAGAAGCCGTGAGCGAATTCACGAATGGACGTTGCTTTCGATTCATGGATTATATATTCCGCAGCAACGGTGAAGAAATAGCTTGGCTTTTCTTGACGTGTTAAAGAGGCTTCCCGAGGACTAGACGGAAATGGTTGCCTTCAGCAGCGATGGTAGCTGCCGGCCGCGTGGTACCCGGTTAATGAACGAAAAAGAAAGCGTCTTGAACCTCGTTTGAGGAGAATTTGCTATAAGTGATTATTTCATCGTCAATATTGCTGGATTGTTCATGGCTTTATCGTCGTGTGTAATTAACGCGCAAGAGGAAGGTTCGATCAAGGTTTTCAATCGAACACTGGGTCCCAAAAGCAATGATCGAATCATTTGAAAAATGTGAGAAGTTCTTTGACAATGGGGCCGCATTGCGCAATGAAAGGGCATTGTTATGAAATGAAGTGATCGAGATATTGATGATCTTGCCTTGAATGGCAGATGACGATGATGTCATATTTAGCCTTAGAAACGTGGAGGATGTCGACTTGAATCTTTCCGATTACCATGGCTTAACGCCTCTAGCATACGCTGCTTTTAGCTTTCCTTGGAACTACTTTCTCGTACCGGCGGAAGTGCTCTTGTTCTTCTTTAGACAAAGGCTAAGCAACTAGAATTAGAATTAGACCAACACTGAGACGTTGTCTAGCCGCTGGTCGATCGAATCTATCATTAGCATCCATAACATGCTATTCCCGGTCTTTGTGTGCGTGAACTCTTGCTGTGCTCTTACCGATCCAGCGTTTCAGATGGACGATTAGTCGGTCTGATCAATGATAGTTAGCAGAACCCATGATGTATACACTCATGAACACTCACGTGATAGCTGTCGGTTTTGCCGGGACGCTAACATGTCTACAGGTCACCTTGGAGAAGTGGGCCTCTACTATCGAACATCAGTGGTCTGGTCGTCCTTCCGTCGTTGGTGCATTTTTACGATACAATGTGTCCGGTTACGTCACCTGAAATGGAACGTAATACGTTACATTTGCTTTGGTTAATACCTCGGTATAAATCTCTAATATTCCCTGCAATATTCTGACGTCACATGCCGCTAACACACTCTCTGACTAGTGTCCCTATGTTAGTTAAGTGCCAATATGCTTACTAATGCTAGTTCCGAAGCTTCCGAAATTTGATGAGACAGCCTTGATGGAGATGTTCCCAGCAACAATTCCTCCCCGTCGACCTTGCTATACTTCACTACATTGCACTTTGATGGAAACGAGCGTTGTGAACGAGGTTTATGAATGCCCTGATGAGAAACAATATATCCCGGACGTCAGACCACCAGACTTTTCTCTTCTCTTCTCTATTTTCCATATCCTGCATTTATCTACGCCGAGTCCATCCACTCTCTCCAATAGATACTAGAGCATCTTAATTTTGCGTCATCACATACGGAATCAGTTGACGGTCTGTTAATCATGTTGGTCGGTCCAGGACGGCCAACGAAGGCATGCAACCCATGCAAGTCTCAAAAGGTATGAAAGCAGACTCATATACCCTCAATGTTTTAATTTTTAAAAAAAAACCCCGAAAAGTTGAAACGACGAAAAGGGGAAATAATCAGCTGATATACTTTAGGCTGGTTGTTCAGGAGACAGGCCAATTTGTAAACGATGCTCGAGGTTGAAACGTAGCTGCGACTACAGCAGCAAAGCATCTGAAATGCGAAAACACTCAAGGCCATCCTGGGTTCCTAGCGCAGCAGGTAATTCTCCACCGGTACCAACGATCCCTCCAGAGGGCAGCCACTCTACCAGTCACCGCATGGCGCAAATTCGAAATCATTCACCATCCCCTCCAATAGAGGAACGTTATCTCGGGATTCCATTTGAATTGGTGCGAAATCTAGTAGAAGTATACTACGCTTACATAGGCAATGCTTCTCTCTTGTTACACAAGAGATCGTTTCTGGAAGCGCTGGGGGGGGGACAGCTTCCCCTCATGTTGTTCTAAGCGTCTGCGCTGTGGCATCGAAGTGAGATTGGACATCTTGGTCTGTACGAGGGACTAGCTAATACTATATGCTAGTTTCTACCGAGATAAGAACGGCGAAGCTACTCTCAAAGAACATGGCTTTATGGCGGAGTGGGCTGAGCGAGCCGGCAAACTTGTGTTTGAAGAAGTTGAGAGCGTCAATGAGGATAACATTGTGACCTTTTTGAATCTTTCATTGTTCTGGTACAGTCAGGGATCGTGGCGGAGAGCCTATATCCACAGAGGTGAAGTCGCCCTTACTTTGCGGAAACATCATGTACATTAACTCAGGCCTAGGCAATGCAGCGGATGCAGCACATCTTTTGGGACTTGGAGTCGAAAGACCAGGAGGTACAACAGATACGTGGGATTTAGAATTACGTCGCCGTCGCTTCTGGGCCTGTTATTTGATGCACTCTGAAGCACCTGAATCATTGGCCGAACCCGAACCTGGGGGCAACAAGTTAAAGCTAACACTGCCGTGGCCCGAAGAAGACTTTGATACAGGCGTCTCCAGCTGCCACAGCGTATGTTTAGAATCTGGTCAAAGCAATGGAGCGATCTACTGCGAATTGATCAAGGCTGTGAGGCTTTGGTGAGAGTGGTATATCCTCCCCCTTCCGCATTGATGCTGACTTTATCTCAGGTCCTCTGTAAATGCTCTAGTCAAATCCCCAGAGCCAAATCTCAATGGCAGAGTCTCTGCTATTCATGCCCTTGACGATCGAATATCAGACTGGTGGAGCAAACTTCCTCCTGCGTTTCAATTAACGCCGTGCAGCATTCCGGAGGTGCCGCAGAAAATTCTTCCGAAACTCTTACTCATCCATATCATTTACCATCAATGTCTTTGCGCCCTACATTCCTCAATAGTACCTCTATTCGGTTGGAGTGCAGGGGATAATAGCTGTGCAGGGGATAATAGCTGGGCTTCGGCTCGACAGTTGTCAGCTCAAGTGGCTTTTGAGAACGCTTGCGCAGCTTCTGCGCTATTCGACTCGATGCTTTCAACCTTCCCCATGCCCGGCGCAATACCCAGTTTCGCTGCATATGCCGCCTATTGCGGATGTGCAATCCAGGTTCCTTTCATGTGGTGCTCTAACTCGACAGTAAGAGAAAGAGCACGCGCCAATTTCAGGGCAAATGCTAGGATGATACATACTTTAGCAACGTATTGGAAGTGTTGCTCATTACTAGTAAGAAAATCCAGTATTCCTCAAGAAATTTTGTCAATAGGACAGGGCTAACGTCTGGATTAGGAAGTTCAAGTTCGCTATCTTTATAATCTCCATAAAAGGGACCCGATAATTCTTGAGAATGAGCCTAGGTACATCGATTCTAGGAAGCTAACAAGCTTCAAGATCAACGCACCTCATGTTCGAGAGTCTATGCTAGGGCATACTCAGATCCTATGGGCTAACGGAGATGGATTTGCAAGACCAGGGGAAGAAATTGTTGACCTGGGGGCCGAGGAAGAGTGTAGTTCTCAAGCTGTGGCATCAGCCTTGAACAATCAGGAAGGTAAGTTCTTGATTGCATTGTAGAGTAAGATTACGAGCCGAATTGAGCTGAGCTGGGCTGATTCCTTCTCTATGTAGACCCCAAGACCAACTCTCTACAAAATGAGGCTCATTTTCCGCTGTCACTTCCAACTGAAGAACAGTTCGAACCCTGCACGCCTGTAATCCAACAAGGCGGCTATCCTACCGCAGACCTGCCCCTAGGTGACCTTGACACATTATTCGACCAATGTTTTGACCCAGAGATGCTGGATATGTTCCCAACCAATGGAGCCTTGGGTTTCGAACAGTTCCAATTGGGTTTGCTGAGCTTCGGTTTGGTACCCGGCATGGAAACTGGAGTTGAAGACCCAGTTGATTCACGCTCATTGTGGGAGCCGCATGTAGATAGCACGGTACCTAGATATCTGTGAAGCTGTCATGAGCCCCACCAGCACCGGCCGTACGGTTCGGCCGGGCCCGCTAGGAAGCACCCGAGATGTAGGGGCTAAATTGATATAAAGGCAGGAGGCCCTCACTTAGGAGGAAGAAGGGAGGACAGAGATAAATAGGGTCAATTTGCAGGGAACAAGTTGCGATCTAGCTACCTATCCGTGCTTCACTCTCCTATTATTCCCACCGGCGGCTACGGCCTCTGACAGAAGCATACTAGGGCATCATAAGTAGGTGGTACGTAGACTGAGATATGAAGGAATGGACCGCCTCAACAGCAGTTTCCTGAGTTTCCTCAATCAATTAATCATTTCAATCCACATCGTATTGATTCCGCTTGACCTCATTAGTCATCTCAGCATACCATACTATACGAATATAGCCTGTGTAGACACATATGTTTATTAATGTTTCTGATAAATTTCATGGTAATTACATAACGATCCAAAAATATGGTCCATGGCCCGGCCCATGTCAATGTCTAACTGTGTCTAATATGTTTCACTTCTTTAAATTCAGCAAATAGCCTCGTCCAAGCCCCTACAAGACGTGCGCTTTCCATTGGTCTTCAATTCAACATATTCTTTCTCTCAGGTCGGCTAGTAGCTAGTTAAGTACGAAGTTCTGAGTTTAAATGCTGACTAAACCACGTAGTGGCCTGTTTCGCTGCAGCCTCGTACCCCTCCTTATTGGCTGCGTCCTCTTTCGCTCTGATGCAAAAGCCGTGGTTGCATCCCTCGTACACTCGAAATTCATACCTGTATCTTTCTCCAAGTTTGTTCCTGAGCATCGCTTCGGTCTTTGCAGCGACTGCGCCGTTGAACTCGAAGTCGACATCTGCAATCGCACTGGAGTAGGGCACATTGAATTTCTGGATCGCTTCTATGAACATATTCGGCGTGGGAAGCATGTAGCTTGGGTGCCCGTTAAATTGTGCGTCAATCAATCTCTCTGTTCCCCCTTCGATATTCGCTTCGGTACACAGCTTTGTCGACCCCCATCCACCCCAGCAAAAACCGGCGACCCCCAGCTTGCCGCCTGCGGGTAAATCTCTTCTCACAGCTCGTGCATATTGTAAGATTTTTGGATAAGCCTTTGCAGGGTGACCCAGAAGTAAGAAAGAGAGGACCTTCGGGAGAAGGCAGATGGTAGCGTATGCTTTATGCAGCACGCTATCGACGCTCCACCGCTCGAGCGACCCCATAGCAACCTCCATCTGAGGCATCAAGGAAGGGTCGAGGCCGCCGTTGTAGACAACTTCCGGAATCAGCACGCGACAACCTGTCGAAGAAGCGTACTTGTCCGCTAGTAGCTTGTTATTGACCAGCCTCAGAGCAAACGCATCGGTGAGGTAGATGATTGCTGACTTGCTCCGCGATGGGTCGGATCCACCGGCGACATAGGTCCGGATGCCGTGTATGGTCTCCATTTTACCGGTGGGCTCAGCGTAAGTATGAACAAAGCCGCGGAAACACTCCGGACAGGGCATTTTGAGTTGATACTCTAGTGTTTTGACAGAGCAGTGTAAAAAGCAGTAAAAATACTTAAGAAATTTGTAATTGGGATCATTGGGGCGAACCAATGGGTTTATTTATAATCGAGTACAATCGGTCCCACCTCCACTGCTGCTACTAACGAATGCACTTAAACTCGGATGCCGAGCTAGCTAGTGCATGCATCAGTTAAACCCGTTAGGACAATCGGATCTTAACATTGCTCCAGAAGATGCTCAAGCGTTAAGCTCACCCACCGAATCCTAGCGGGTCCCGGAAGGGCCGGATCCGGAAAATCCTTTAATTTACCGCTGCACACCTTGCTGGCACTTGTGATGCCAACCACGCATTGCGGATCTGAAACTTCACACTGACCTCACCAAAATCAGACACTAATGGTGCCTTTCAGGTGCTGCACGGGATCAGTCACGGGATCAATCACGGAATAGAAATGACCGGTGAATTATCTGAATCATGTAATTTTCCGGTCATTTATACAATGCTGCTGGGAATTCCCGGATACCCCGAATATTCCGACATTCTTTGAACTCCGGAAATGTCAGAATCTGAGAAATCTGAAGAACTATCCCCGATATGATTTTGTTTTGGTCCGTCGTGAGTGTTCCACAATATCCCTAGAGGTAGAACGTAAACGAAGGTGAATAGAATCCCGGCTCGATTGCGGAGTGGTAAGCTTGGCTTTGAATGGGTGACTATCTCCTTTGTTTGTCATTGGATCCTGTATTTTTGGCTCCTGGGCTCTTTTGCCAGTATAATTAGTATGCAGATAATCCACATCTGTAGATGGCATTTTTTTTTGTGCAGCCAAGGCAGCTCTACAACAGAAATTACTGTGCTGAAGACAGTGATATATTGGCTAACAACCGCCTATACAAACTTCACATCTAATCGAGCAACTTCATATAAAATGAGCCAAGGCAGTCAGGTTCCTTCCTTTAGCCAGGTTGCCTGTATTGGCTCTGGCCTCTCGGCTGTTGGTCTGGGAGCCACGCTAAAAAGGTGGTACAGCCTGGACGACATCAAATTCTTTGAACGACAATCTGGAAGTGGAGGAACGTGGTGGATTAATACATACCCAGGTGTGTTTTATTTAGATTTATTGACTAAGTGCCGCTGACGCGAACATAGGCTGCGCTTGCGATGTCCCGGGCGCACTATACAGCTATTCATTCGAGCTAAATCCGAATTGGACAAAACTTATGCCTTCAAATGCGGAAATCAAAGCATATCACGATGGGGTTATTGCAAAATATGGCCTGCGTGAGAAAATGGTTTTCTCGACCGAGGTTCTTCGCTGTGTATGGAGTGGAGAGTCCTCTTTGTGGGTTTTGTTCCTTCAGGATACCATCACTGGTCGAGAATATATCCACCAATGCCAAGTCTTGTTCTCCGCCGCTGGGCAGCTGGTCGAACCTCGTCCATGCGATATTCCTGGCCATGAGACTTTCAGAGGCGAGATATTCCATTCAGCTCGCTGGAACCATAACGTTAGTCTTCAAGACAAGAATGTCGTAGTTATCGGCAATGGCTGTAAGTATAATACACATCCTCTCAAGACTACGTCCTATAACCTATTTCAGGCACTGCAGCTCAGGTTGTTCCCGCGATTGTGCCCGAGGTGAAGCATCTGACCCAGATCGTACGGTCACAGCATTGGGTTTTCGAGTCAGCAAATTTCAGCTATGGTAAGATTATGCAATGGGTTTTCAAATATATTCCCCTTGTTTTACGCCTCCATCGACTGCACATTTTTCTCATTGCGGAGAGCGATTTCCCTTTGTTCTTCATGACTAAAGCAGCTGCTCTATTAAGAGCAAGGAAGAGAAAGAGGGTCGAGCGATACATGCGAGAGACAGCACCGGCGAAATATCATGATATCTTGATCCCAGACTTTGATATAGGCTGCAAAGTATGACATGGACATTATCAAATGCTAGAGATCTCCGCAGCTAATAGTTGCTCAGCGTCGTATCTTCGATGGCGGATACCTATCATCCTTGCATCATAGTAACCTCACCCTGACCGACGACAAAATTGTTGAAATCTTATCCGACGGTATCAAAACCGACAAAGGCTTTGTCCCAGCTGATGTCATTGTTTTGGCAACAGGCTTTCGAACCAACGAATTCCTCCAGAAAATGCAGATAGTTGGGAATGATAGTGAGACTGTCCAAGAACATTGGTCCAAGTATCCAGGCCCTGAAGCATACAATTGCTCTGCCCTTGGTGGATTCCCTAACTTCTTCATGCTGTTGGGGCCAAATTCAGCTACTGGCCATACTTCAGCGTTGATGGCAGCAGAGAAGTATAGTCATCCGTTGCTACTTTGGAGCTGAATGGTTAGCTAACTACCTACTTTCCAGCTCCATCAATTACGCTCTCCGAATTCTCAAACCTGTCTTCGAAGGTAAAGCTACATCGGTCGAGCTTGACAGCAAGGCAGAATACACTTATGTCTACAAAATGCAAGACGCTCTGAAAATGCGAGTTTGGAATGCTGGTTGTCTTTCGGTAAGTATATTTACGTAGCTGTGATATGATAGCTCAGATGCTGAATGAGTCAAAGTGGTATTCCAATGAGAAGAAATGGAATTCAATGTCGTACCCGTGGTCCCAAGCACACTACTGGTTCAGGAGCCTCTTTCCTGTTTGGTCAGATTGGAAGATCAAGGTGTGTAAGTTCTCGCTCTGGATACTATCGCCATGTGTTCTAATATTTGGCCCTATTATAGAAACCACCAACTTTGCGCAATTCGGGATATAGATATTTCTTCCTCGCTGCATTAGTGGTGGTTTCCAATGTATTTATAGTTAGCAAGATGGATACTGGCTCTAGATTGGCTGTGATGGCTAAGTTGAAGCAAGTCCTGAGACTGTGAATTGGACTACTATGTATGTTCTTCCAAATATCTAGTGATAAGCGAATTACCTTGCAAGAATGAAATTTATGAAAGTCGAGACAAGAGCGAAATTCAATTCAAATATTTAAATATTTATTTACTCCTCAGGTCTTTCACGACCTTGGGTCGTATGTAGCCCCCTAGCTAGTGTGCACTGCTCCGTTGAATATATACATTGGATGGGCTCACCCCCACGCGACAATTCTGTTGAGATTCATGAGACCAGGAAAGACCAGGGGGTCACACTGCCTGACTTGTCAGGCAAGAACCGCATTATCAGCACTGAACCTCCTGAAACTCACTTCCCATGGAACTCTTCATAAAAGGGAACCACAATTCACCTCGCTTGTAGATGAGCGCACAAAGCTATGTTTATAAATACTACGTGAGCTACATAGTATAGATAGACAGACTTAGAACAATCTCTTCTCAGGGTGTATGCTTCAATTAGACCTATTATATTTCAACAAATTCAGCCATTATACCGCATCACCATTTTTTTTTTTACCGTTCCGTCCACATTGCGAACGCGATGATAGCCCTGACGATCTTGATGTCGGGCTTCCATGCTCTTCCGTTAAGTTCTTTTGTTCCGTCTACGCTCTCTGGCTTCCTACCTAACATCCGCGGCAGGTTACCGAAGTGGGGACCCGCTGCTTCAATAAGCATGCGACGCTGCTCATTCCATCTTGTGCATCGAAGTAGGAAATGCTGGGCCGTTTCGCGCTCAACACCACACTTGCACAGATCGCTACCACTCTGGCCGATTCGATGAAGATACCCATTGAGTCTCGCATGTCCCATGCGGAGTTGAGCTAGCATTGAGGCTTTCTCCCTATCTAGGCAATCATATAGGACCTTCGTGTGAGGTCCTGGGAGGGCTGAATCTAACTGGCGTGTAAATTGGCCAGAGGTCGACTGTTGGAAATTGTTCTTCCGGTGCTGTTTAGCATTTGCCCGTGCCCATCGCAACGCCGACGCCCGCAGTTGGACTTGCGCCCATGGCGGGGAGTTAATTCCGCTGATTTTTTGCTGTTGCTTCGCGTGCAAGGCTATGCGCTCGTACCGTGTTCTCACTGTCCTCTCCCGTTGGCAGCCGCAGGTCGACCTTAGCGCCCATCTCCAATAGCTGGTTAATTGCTTCAGTAATCTCGGTGATGAGAGCTTGACCGCCCTGGCCAAGAGACATTAAGTAGCTTTGGCAGGCCTACTTCGGGCCCCGCGCCAACCGCACCGGGCCAGACCGCACAACCACGGCGGATTCACTTTGGTCTCCCCAGCGGAGGATTAACACCGGACACCACGAGAAGGTATGAATCCATTGTACCAACAGCCTGGGAAGAACTGTTGCCCAGTGCGAGCTCACTGGGGGCGCCATTTATATATTCATCTATCGACTGTTTCGAAAAGGTGCCGATAGATTAGTAGTTAAAGCCGAAGGCGGTGGGTACTAGGGACGCGGTTTTGAATGTCAAAATTACCGTAATTTACCGTAATTTTCACGCCCTGACGGTCAGGAGAAAAGGCCTGACACGGCGCTAAGAGAAACTTTGTTTTTCTGCCAGCCAAAAAAAAAAAAGGTAGAAAAACTGACAGAAATCTGTCGGTACGACAACGTATGGTCAAAAACAGATAGATATATTGGAATCTCTAAATGACAAAACCCGCGTTTTCAACAATCTGGGCGGACATAGATGACTAACTGTAATATGCACTTTTGTATGGTATGCTTGGTACCAGTTGTCACATGATTTTCTGGGTATTATACCTTGTTTCCACCATGTATTCAATCTTAGTATTCGACAAAAACAAGAAATTATTCAGCGAAGTGCCGAGGGAGTAGGAGTTGCTAAACAGCCACAGCGGTGAATCAACCAGTGATAATTCCACCCTCCCATTGGACAACAGATATTTACTAAGCTAAACTTTAATCTACTGACCGTCAGTTTAAAACACCCTGCCATGACGCCTGACGGTCATTTTACGAGAAATGTCAAAATGACAGCATCCCTAGTGGATACGTGTACGGTTATCGTTACACTTCCAAAATAATATTTTCGCGACTTTACACACAATCTTTTACCCTACCTTTGAAAACCAACCACTAACCACGTATTTCTAGTTAAGTCTAAGAAACCCAAGGTGGCCACTTATAATTTATCCGTTTACAATCTCGTTTCTTAAAATTTCGAAGATGTTATGGTAAAAACTAAGAAGAATTAACAGTCATAACGGAACAGCTGTAAATAACAGTATTTAGTGAGATGAATCATCAATTTTGTGCGTCTAAGACAGAAAAATCGCAGAGGAATCATACATTTGAGGGTCGTTGAGGATCGTTGCGGGTGACCCTCAAGGCACCCTCTGAGGGTAGGGTCGACGGTTGGACCCGCAGGGAGGGTCCGGGCCAGGTCTAGCGGCACCTACATCGAACCAATCCGATAGGGACGTTCTTATATTGAAATTGTACGCCGCTTGCCACGGTCTTCACTCTCTGCACATCCCATTGCCTAAGATGTTCTACGAGGCGGATAATCTGGTCAGAAAGGAGCACAAATACCGCACGAGGATATGCGCACGGAGGGTCGATTGTCGCGAGCATGTCTCCCAGTCGTGGAGCGCCCATAATACCTCGGCGAAACGAATCGAGCTGGCGGAGCACTTGACATTATGCATGTGCCAGCTCGATGGACCTGGGTCTGGCCCCACGGATTGAATGTGGCAGTGCGTTGCTGGAATTCAGCGATGGTGAGGGAAGACAGATTGTATGCTCGTATCTTGGCCAATAGATGGTATAGACGCCGGGAGTTTTTGGCCTCGAACCGGCTGCCGCCAGGATCTTCGGCTGCTGCCTACGCGGCCGATGAAAGGGGCTACGCGGAGTGGGCTCTGATACAGGAATCGGCGGTGCTGCGAACCATCCTTTAACCCCTAACTGCGCAAATGACTGGCTATACCGCGAGGGACTCCCTCTGTTGGCCACTTTGGAATAACTAAGCCGCTTTCCCAAGGCAGATCCCGCCAGGTGACCACTTGCAACGAGGACATGACCATAATGGTGGTGTCTGTGCCATCTGTGCCGCCTTTTCTACAAGTGGAGCCAACAACTACATACGTGACGGCATTGGATTGAAGCTCCCATGCTATCAATGAACGATATCAGCAAATTGGCACATGTTCGAGTAGATGCCAAGATGATGGGCAGCTATCACCATAAGGAGAGTGCAATGGTTTTGTATATGACCAGAGCGGTTGTGGGCGAGGCTATTACAGCTTCTTATCTCATCCTATATGGAAGCTTTCGAACAGGTCCTATTCCTAGTTACTGCATCAGTTCTCGATGCGACTGAAAGTGTTGCATGTAGAAAAAGAGCTACGTTTTGGTATAAGCTATTGCTTCGCTATATCTCTAAGCACGCTTTCTGCGTTGTACAGGTATATCCACTCGAGACCTGCTCCCATCCCTGTGAGTTTATACTTTGCCCAGATAAGCCACTGTTGAAGGATTTGCTGAGCATGATTGCTCTTTCTCCTCAATTCCCCGGCCGCTCGTGTGACCTCAAATATCTTAGCGATTCTTTGCTTCCTATGTTCTTCCCATAACTCTAAATAGTATTTTGGAGAATGATCGACGCCGGGCTGAAGGAGCTTTGAGAAGGCATAGGCTAGAGTTTCTGCATCTTCAAATCCCACTGCTGCTCCTTGACCGGCTGATGGAGGAATTGCATGAGCGGCGTCGCCGATGAAAATCACTTTTCCCTTCTCCGACGTGTAGTGATCAAGTTTGGGTATCTGTGAAAATCTGCCAAACACGATCAGTCTCAGCGTCCAATGATGTCACTAGCTTAAGTGCTGCTCACGGCCAGATCTCCAGCGTCTCTGGGGAAACGGCTGCGATAAGTTTTTTCACCGAGCTGGGCCAGATTCCCTCCTCGGTTAAATCATCGAGAATCCCCCTAAGCTTTTCTTTGTTCTTTTCGAGCTGGGCCCATTCCTGAACTGATTGATCAGGGTACTCCACAGTAGCGAAAAAACCAATCTCCTCTCCGTCGTAACTTGCGGGCATAATCGTGAACGATCCACCCTTACCGTAGAGCATGCACGGGAGCTCTAAATCGATCTCGACAATTCCGAGGTTCTCCTTTTGCACGGTACCTATGACGGCCAGCAAGCCGCTATATTTAGGACCGCTATCGGGGTTCACGCTCCGTCGCACGATCGAATTGATCCCATCGGCACCCACGACATACTCGGCAGGGACAGTATCGCCGCCCTCAAAAGTGATAGTGACATCGTCGAGCTCTTCTCGAATTGCCACGCACCTTTTGTTGTAATGGATAGGAATGCCTCGCACCTTGACCTCGTCGAGTAGTGCCTTCCGTACAATCGCGCGAGGCACACGGAGGGCCGAAAAGCTGTACTCTTTCTCACACCCATTCAAAATTCTGGCCAGAACATCCCCAGAATTGTTCATGAGCGTGAGGACCTCATAGTTATAGCCTTGCGAGCGAAATTTGCTGTAGATACCGATGTGGTCTGCCACGCGGAGCGCATTCGGGGCAAGAGCAATGTGACCCCCTTGTTGCCATCCTTCATCTCGACCTTCGTAGATTACGGATGGAATATCATGTTTATGAAGGAAAATTGCAAATGCTGGTCCCTAAATGGAGGGTGAGTGATGGATGATGCAGATAAAAATGAACGCTTACCACCAGGCCGCCGCCCAGAATCGCGACTGGCTTCATCTAGGAATATCCACGAATGGGCTGAATACTGCCTTCAAAATTTTGGATGTAATGAAATATGCCCTGTGTACATGCACGTTTTATACAACGGTAAAATAATTACGTCACAACTGTGGATAATCTGTCGCTCATCGATTCCGCTGTATTCGAAACCACGCGGTAATGGTGCCTTGTAGGTGCTGCATGGGATCAGAACTCGGGGGAAATTTCCGCCAATCATCGCATTTCCCGGTCGTTTTGCGATACTAAAGCTCCCGGAAGTTCAGGCATTTTCCAAGCTCCTAGCTACCGGCATACCATTTGGCCAGTCGCGTCAAGGGGGTTGGTTCGATCAAATCAGCTGCTGACTGTATAACTAGTTGGTAAATTCTATCACTGGCAAATGAATATTCCGGAGGGCAAAATAGGGTTTCTACAGTTATATCCCTTTGACTGTACGAAGGTGCAGCGCATCAAGAACCAAGGACAGGGATTTATAAGCCAATTAGACAGCGCTATATAAAGGGTACATCAATTTTGCAGGGGAGCCCCTATAATAGAAGTACCACTAATCCCCCTATGTACACATAGCTACATCATCCTATTTATAGCCCCATTCTGTTTTTGGGCCCGGCTTGGCGCCTAGAATTGGGTTTATTTGCACTTAGCTTACGTAATGTCATACGCTTTTACCAAATATACCGGGGAAAGAGCCAGTGGCCAAAAATACAGGATCCAATGACAACCAAAGGAGATAGTCACCAATTCGAAGCCAAGCTTACCACTCCGCAATCGAGTGGGATTCTATTCACCTTCATTTTGGTTCTACCTCCAGAGGAATTGTGGAATACTCACGACGAACCAAAACCCAATCATGTCGGGAATATTTCCTCGTATTCCTCAGATTCTGACATTTCCGGAGTTTAGAGAATATCGGAATATTCGGGATATCCGGGAATCACCAGTATCATTGTATAAATGGCCGGAATAATTACATGATTGGCGGATACTTCCTAGAATACCAATGCGGACCGCCCTTGCGTCTGCCTAGATGTTTACATAACTTAGATCAAATAAGCCTTACAATACCGAGTTAGACTAGACTTTCGTTGATTCCTTAAATCAAGCCACTCAATCTTCTATGCAACCTAATCTTCCGTCACTTGTGGATCAAGAGATAGCTAGCATGCAACTTAGTGGTAAGCGGATTACGCCACAATTGTTCGCAGTCAGTCGCTTTGAATTCGAGGTTAGCGTAAAAAACTGTGTCATTCTTGGTTTCGGGAAATTGCTTCGTGCTCACCTCAATAGACCTTCTTCGGCGATTTTAACGGAAAAATATCACAATCCCCGACTAGCCGGGCTGCTACGTTCGCGTCCTTTACTAAGCATGGAGCATTTAAAGCGGAATAAGAACCCACTTTTTCCATCTGACGCAATATTCAACCCAAGCCAAACACGCTCGAAGTAAGACTTACGCTTCTAAAATGTCCGATAACCATACCTCCGAAAAGGCCCTCCTTGGCCTCAAGATGGCCCAACAATATCTAGGAGAGAAACTTTTGACAGCTTTACGCAAAGATACTGTAAGTCTGTCCCCAGTCATTTGTTCTGTCGCACCTAGATATAAAAACGCTAAAACACGAAACTGAAGCGGTCTGATCTCTTTACCAAGACCTTGGAAGAGTACACGGCAGAGGTCACCCTCTCAAGTTATGCTCGGCCAGGTTTATCCTTTCGAGAGAGGAACTTGATGAACATTGCAATGTTTGTAGCGCTCAACCGACCACATGAGCTGCGTATCAACCTGCAATCCGCTGTTCATAATGGCCTGTCGAAGGAACAGATCTGTGAGGCTATCAGGCATGCAACGCTTTACTGTGGTATGGCTGCCGGAAGGGACGCCTTTTTGTTGGCCAGCGAAGTCTTCGGTGTATCAAAGATAGAAGCAAACTAGTGTGGAAAACCTTTCTTATTATAGCATATCGTTGACTTACAATATAAGATGTTTTCGTTGCTGCTGATTTATAGGCATTTATATCTGAGGAAGTAGTTCATCTTTGCAAGTTTTTACTTCCCAGCTTGTATTCGGCATGCCATAATCACACGTCCAATAATTGAGAGTGCTCTTACTGACAAGATAACTAGAGTGTTCACCATTACTAATGGGTTTTCATTCATCATTGATGAATCGCCCAAATTGGCCTTAAGTGGAAATATGGATAGAGTGTCATGGCTTTGCTTTCTTTAGACCGAGGCTCTAGAAAATACCATTCTACAGCACGTTATGGTTCCATACTCGGAGAATATTCGTAAGATTCCTGGTTTCCCTTATACTTCCTATAATATTGCGGCAAACCCACTATTCATATTTACCCCGCAATATTTTCCCGGCAAAGGAGCTGATTCCAATGTATTCGGACTTTGCTGATTAACTCAAATTTAATTACTAACCTACACTGCACTTCCCCAGACTGTAGGCGCCAGTTATGGGGGGAAACGTATTTTCCTGATAGCAATAGTACGGATCCGGGAAATCCTTCAATTTTTCCGCCACCAATAGTACAGATCCGGGAAATTCTTCAATTTTCCGCCACGCTCCTTGCTAGATGCTAGATTAGTCATGTCAACCACACATTGTTGTATAAAAGTAGCGTTAGCCACTGCTAAATCAAAGGCGTTTATTTCTAAGCATTTACAGTCAGTACCAGTGCGATTGAGCAGACAGAAATTACAATCATACAATTCTCGCAGCAACGTCCAGCTATGAAGATCTTCGGAATCGGATTCAGCGGGTATGTGGGAGACGGCGTCGCAACAAAACTGTTGGCTGATGGACATATCCTCACCGGCCTTGCGCGCTCTCAGACAGCCGCAGAGTTGCTACGGGAGAAGGGTATCACCCCTGTGATGGGAGCTATTGCGGACGCGGAGATCATTCACAAGACCGCCAAGGAAGCTGACGCCGCTCTGCTGCTGTGTACTGGAGGATTCATGACTGAGATACTTGGACAAGAACAGCAATACGTCGACTGTGTGGAAGCCTTGATCAGCGCATTTGAATGGACGGGAAAGCCTTTGATGCAGATTGGCGGACTAGCCTTGTGGGCAGGAAAAACGCCAGAAGATGTAGGAGTCCTGCATGAAAGCAGCCCTTTTAATACCAGCAACTGGTATGCCGAGATTTTGCCTGGGTATGACAAAGTCCAAAGCTCCAATTCTCGTGGGGTGCGCGGATTCACGCTCCTCCCTGGCCAGGTTTATGGCCGTGGTGGCGGTTACATCGGACCACTTCCCCGCCGATTCGAGGATTTCCGCAAAAACGGGGCGATCCACTACTTGGATAACTCTGCGGGGCGCCTGTTATCTACCCACATCGATGATCTGGCTAGTGCCGTCGCACTCGGTCTAGTGAAAGCCGGAGCCGGTGAGAGGTATATTGTCATCACCGACGACTGCGACAACCTCACTCTGTGCAAGATGGTCAGCCGTGTTTGTGGGCTGGACGGTCAACTATCCTATGTGGATAAGGAAACTTTGGAGAAGAAATGTGGATGGGCAGGTCAATGGGATTTCAATATCCACGCACGTGCCAATTCTGATAAGATTAGTCGTGAACTGGGCTGGAAGTCGCAAGGACTTGGTTTAGTCGCCGAGTTGCAGAGGCTGATCGATGAAAAGGTCAACGTGGATGATATATATCCTATGAAGAGCCGGCAGAAGACTCTGGAAAATCTGGAAATATTTGACTAGCAAGTCATGAGGCAGCAAGGCGGTTTGACCGAGCTCATTAGGAGATTTTAGGCAAGAGAGACCTCGGGGTCAAAAAGGAAGGTGATGATTGAGGAGTGGTCAAATACCACTAGGACCTTCGGGACAGGCTCATTCATCGTTCACTCTCTTACTAGCGTTATTTGCTTCATTCAACACCCACTGCTTCCTGGTTCCCAAGGCATCAACTGCTGAATCAGCACAAAGGAGCCCCTAGTTATGTTTTGCTCTCAGATTTATAAAGAAAAACACATCTCCAGTACTGTGCAACGGCCTCATTGGCTTATTCTAGTATTAGTGCAATTTAAGGGGTCGGCACGAATACGAATAAATTAAAGTTCTTGTTGTAATAAGTGGTTGTATCGAGTTAAGTAGACTAACTTGTTAGAGGTGGGACACTCCATCCATTTAAACGTTTATTGCTAGTCCCCGCCATACGCTTTGACTGCCGTGATTAGACCTCTGCATAGCCCACAAAGCCCATAGCCCAACCCAACCCAACCCACAAATGGGCTGGGCTTTGGGCCCTGCCTTCGGGCCCATTGGTGGGCTATGGGCCCAAGGTGAAAGCCCACCAGGGTTATTTCGGCCCATAATGGGCCCCAAACAATGCAAACATTCCAATTTATCGCAGCTGCATAAGTAATGCATATTTCCCTGGTTATTTTAGGTATTCAAATTACCATTTAAGCTGTACATGAACCATCTTATAAGCTTATAAATTAAGTTATGGGACTGATTGATAAGATATCAAGTAAGATGCTAGGTGATTGAATAGTATATTTACATCCTGATCATGATATACATACTAATAACGCTCATACATATCATCCTCAACTCGCAACCTCTTCCTCCCTGATGTACGCTGCTGAGTATAAATACTCGGTAATTGCGGTGCAGCAGTAGCAGCAGCATCATCATCATCTCCGTCAAGACTGTCGCTATCAACATCTATCAAATCCCCAGATATATCATCCTGCTCTTCAGTATCACTAATCTCATCAATATCGACATCATCTGGCGTCTCATCCTTCTCTTCTACTAATACATCGGTCTCATTAGTAGTAAAAAATTTTCTAAATTCCTCCGATTCATGTACCTCAAGGTCAAACCTTGATGCACAGAGATAGAGCATCAGCTCTTCGATGGTATACGGCTTTAAGGAGCCGCGGCGATAATGACAGACGTCGCGTGTAGTATTAAACAGACGCTCTACTCTAGCACCTATTGCTGGGATTGCGAGAACATCCCTTGTAAGTGCAGCGACGGCCGGAAAACGGGATTCATTCTCTCTCCAGAATGCGAGTGGCTCGGAATCAGTTACATCTATATTAAAATTAGTATCTAGTAAATCATTTGATCAGAAGGATTAGGATTGAACATACTACCGTCAAGATACTACGTCATTTCATTAACAACTAGCTTTGACTTAGTGTTAGATTTCTGGCTTCGAACAAGATTGTGAAGAACTGATCTTATTGTCGATGTAGAAGACTCTTATAGACCCTGAGTACTAGCAAGACGTTGCTGGATCGGAACAAGTGCATCTTGGAATGCTGCTCGATACTAATCCTATAGTTCTTTTGAGTCGGACCAGTCATCAGAAAGAAAGAATTGAAATCTACTATCTAGCGATAGCATTGTGCAAACTGCATAGATATGCCCTCGCATTTGATCAGTCTCTTTATAGTAATCGCGTAGCTTTGACCAACTAGCATCGAGAGAGGTAAGCATCTGCTGTTTCCATGTAACACGCTTTCGTTCTAATTGTCTCTTTGATCGTTCAATATGCTCGAATAGCAGATTATAGATCTGAAAGACAAGATATGATGTTATATCTCGTGTCTTTGAGAGGGCAAGTGTATAATCAAAGAATGGCTTTGTAATACAAAGAAGATAGTCAATCTGGCGCTATTGATCATCATTAAGGGCGAAGTCTTTCTCGTTGAACTGATCACAAAACTGTATGATAAAGATACGGAGTCTCTTAGCTCGCCGGAGTATAAGGAATGTTGAATTCCACCGAGTCTTCACATCCTGGACAAGCATAAGCCCTTGCCCTTTAGGTTGAAGTGCAATGAATGAATCCCGGCGCTGAGGACTAGCGCGGATGTAAACAGTAAGTGCTCGTATTCTTTTCAAAGTATACGAGATATCCCTTTTTTTTGTATTCGCTCTCACGAGGGTACCTTGTTGCTTAGTCCATTTGGTCTCCGTAGTCTCATTCTGAGGGACTGCTTTTAGACGGTCAAGTAGCTGGTTCAAGCTCAATTGGATCATATGTGTAAGATAGGGGATGCGGATAATGTTGGTGTTCTTGGTATTGATTGAAGATTGTTGTAGCAAAGATTGCTGTAGGGCATTAACCAGAGCCTTATTATTCGACGCATTATCGGTGGTTAATCCAAAGATCCGGTCCCGAATTTTATGCTTAGTGACCGTTTCTAGGAGGATAGCACTTAGGTTCACACCGGAATGTGTTCTATAGAGGGGTTTGAAACCAAGTAGCACCTCACGATAGACCTAGTCAGCATCGATAAAATAGCTAGTGATAGCCATAAATGCCTGCCTAAATGGAGAAGTCTAACAATCTAATGTAACTGAGATCCTCGCGTGCTTTGGTAGTAGCCCAAGTATATTCTGTTGCCGTTCTTTGACACTAAGAGACAGCCGACGTTGAACTGTAGTAGCGTAGGGTATGGTCAATGGGCCTGGGGCTAACTGTGATTGTGCAATTAAGCGACGGAAGGATGGGCTTTCGACAAGTCGGAACGGGAGTCGGTTTATAGTAATAAACTGTAGGAGTTGATCGTTCCAGGCCTCTTGCGAGAAAGGTGCTTCGGCTGTATAACCCTAATTAACCCTTGTTAGTAAGTAATATTAAAGGATAGGCATTTACATACTGATTGAACAAATCCCCTTATTATACCCTTTTGCTTCTGCATCATTGCAGCATTTCGGCACCCTTTAGTTTCTAGATGACGAGTGATAGTCGTTGTGCCATAACGGCTAACCTTTCTACTAGCACCATTGGTATTGGCACTAGTTTCTTGCTTAATGCTATATGGATGCTCAAGGATAAGACCGTAACGCTTGCACATCACCTTTGGGCTCCCCGAAACCGAATGCGCTACTTGTTCAAACTGTTTCCAGGTCTCCGAAGCGGAACCATGCTAGGAGTCCTATAGAAGCGTCTTATTGTTGGATCTATAGTCGGTCTGTAACCACCAATCGACCCAATTACTATGATTCATCGCGTCGAAGAGAAAGAAATCCCGTCTTTTACTAGGACCGACTCGTTGAAAGCACTCAAAGTCTGCTTCTAGAGCGATTGACGAAGGAACAGATGGCTGAAGAAACGATGAACCACCGTAGTTACTAAATGCCTGCTGGGAAGCAGTGAATGATATAGTATCGAGGTCGGGTTCGAATGGGTCGAACTGAGATGATCTAATCTCGGTTTGCTGGCTTTACGACATGATTAGTTGACGATTTAATAATAAATTTAAGATTGTGTAGTATAAAATGTATAGTAGGAAGGGTATAGGGTTTCAGGGGGATAGGTTCAAGGTCATACATTACAAAAGGCCACCTTCTTGATAATAGGAAACAGCAAATTGATGCAACAAACAGAGAATTCATCATAGTGCTGGTCTGAATTAAAACAGATGATTATAATACTCGTATATTATTAGCTACATCATGCATATTAAGTGGGTTCAGCCCATCCAAAGCCCATAGATAGCCCATTCCCAGCCCATTTCCCGGTCCATTTATCAATATTATCATTCAAAATATTTCACCCAATAGCTCATAATATATTTTGAAACCTCCATTACATCGAGATTAGATATAATATCACTTATCTATAGAAGCAGAAATAAAGAAGGAGAGATGGGCTATCTGTTGGTATAAAATTCAATCATGTAAGCCTATAAAATATGAATTTGTTACTTGAATTTATACTTCAACAGAAAGATGCACCTGTTTCAGTCTATATAAAATATATATATCTTCATGTTGATACTCAGTAATCTTCCCAGGCGCTATAATAGTATAAATTCCTAGTCAAATTGAAGCTTTTTTGTGTAATTTGTATGAAATCTGGCATCATGATGTCGAATTTAGTATAATATCCACTCAATTCCTACTTGTTATAGTGATAATATAATAATACTAAATATACAGGCTGGAACAGGTGTAAAATACAGTCATTAATCAGCTACATTATACATGCCAAGACTGTATTTGTGCATAGATATGGGCTTTGATGGGGGCCCACAGCCCAACCATCGATGGGCTGTGGGTTGGGTTGGGCTCTGAAGATTGAGCCCATAGCCCACTGCGGGTTGGGCTATGGGCTGGGGGTCTAGGCCCATTTGTGGGCTATGCAGAGGTCTAGCCGTGATAATCAACAGTTCTTTGCTTATTAATATTCGTACGAATAAAATTACGATTATTCGTGTTGAGATATGTGATTGTCTGATTGATTCTCATTGACTTGAGGAGTAATCTTTTACAGGGGCGGAATGCTCCATATATCTCTGTTCCTAATCCTTGCCATAAGGTTCAGCCACCATGATACTCAACACAGCCACCGTGATACTCAACACAGCCACCGTGATACTCAACAATTCGTGAACTTTTGGTCGCGGTTTGGAAAACCCTAAGCCACTAACTTTCATCCGAAATATATATTTTGCAGCGGAATTAACATTCTATCAATCTCCGCAACCGATTGACATCATCAAAAATAGGGTAGACATCTTCTAAGATTCAGAAACTCAGGACCTCTCACGACTAGTTACGAATACGAATAAAACTTTTAAGAAAATCTACGAATACGAATAAGGAAAACCCTTATTCGTGCCGACCCCTACTTAGTGCATACTGTGTTACGCACTGCCAACTGGTCACAGTTAGGTTAGATGGGTTCCGGGTATACTTGCCTTAATACTCCTCAGGTATCCAACGTCAACGAT